AAAAAAACAAAAAAAGAAAAAAACAAAAAGAAATGACCACGACTAAAGTTCCTGTATTTGTGTATGGGCTTAGAAGAATTTATAACTCAAATCTTTGTTTTGTTATTTTCGTTCGGTGCACCATTTTGTGTCCACTTGCATGCTATGGGGGTTATAGTCCTGTAGGAACCCAAATGCTTTAATTACTGTATAAACAGATCAACCCTTATTGGTGGGTCTTCCCCATAAACGAAAACACCTTGGCAGATACCCAGAGAAAAGATAAAGACACTAATTTTGACATGGCAAGAGAGGTGTCGATTTGTAGTGCAAATTTATGATCCAGCTGTTTTCTAAACACAAGGTGGCACAAGAATAGTATAATGTAAACTATTATGGAAAGTGACCCATTATTGGCATAATTTATGAATTTAGCTTGGCCATTTTGTTATCAGGTTAGGTTCCTGGTACTCATGTTGCAGTAAGTAATTTGATTAGAACTGCGCTTTCTCTTCCTGGTTCCACTTGTTATACATGTAGCTGTCTTATGACAAAGTACTGGTTTTAGAGGACGTAAAATATATTTGCTTTTGAAAAAATAATACAGTGGAACCTGTTAAGAAAACAATTGTTTATTTCCCCGAGGAGCCTAGTGTGAAGGAATTTTCCCAGTGTTGTGTTTGTGCACAGTCACGTTCTTGCATGCAATTTTTTTTTTGTGAGAAATTATTTTTTACGCAGCAAGGATGCTCAATGTAATTCAAGAGAAACACCTACGTAATAACCCAATCATCACTGATTGTTTTTCAGAAAACTGGTTAGAACATTGTTAGTGTTTGAAAAAGTAACTTTGCAGTGCAAATAGCATAAATTAGTAACATATGCCTAACATTCCATCTGACAGTGTTAATTGAACTACTAGCTATATCGTCTCTGAGTAAACTGGGAAAAATTGGAAAGACTGCGTTCTAGCTTAGCCTTAGTGGTATATCAGTCTTGTCTTTTTCTGTGGTTCCAATTACAGAAAATGAATAGTTGTGAGTATTGCTATTCCCTCCCCCTATAGCAAACTGTATTTTATTTTAAGGTAACCGATCATCCCAGGGGAGGGACTTCCATATGAAAAAGACGAGGTTGCTCATTGGAAATTTTGAAAAGAACCCTAAAACGTACCAAGATCCTGTTTTGTGAGCGTGGCTTGAAATTTTAGGCTAAATACCCTAAGAATTATTGAATCCGGGATTTTAACCCCTAAAGGGTACAACAAGCACCCACGTCCTTTTAATATAGGAGTCCCCCCACCACTTGAAGCTGCATATGGGTGAGTTTAAGAGAAAACACACAAAGGCCCCTAAACNCCCCCCCCCCCCCGACCCCACGGCCAAGCATATGGCACTTGGAGGCTTGCTGGTCTCATGGTAAGTGGACTCACCTCTGGATTGTCTGGGTTTGAACCCTGGCTGGGAACAGTGTGTTGTGTTCTTGAGCAAGTCACTTTACTCTCACAGTGCCTCTCTCTCCACCCAGTTTTATAAATGGGTACTGGCAAATTTAATGTCGAGGGATTACCCTAACCCCTGTCCAGGGGGATAGAAATACTCCCAGTTGGACCACTTGTTTTGTAAGCAGACATTACCTTACCAATGGCGCTTGAGACAGCCCATGACAGCTTCTAGCATGTTTCAACTCATTAGCAATGGTATCAAACAAATAATAGTGAACAAGCTTGAGTCATTTTCTTGACTTTACATGAAACAACTACAACAACAACAACAATTTTTTAATGAATTAGGAGATGTCTTTTAGGTGGCTGTAGAGGCCACAAAAACTTCAATGCTCTCTGCCAATATGAATACTCAAATGGAGATTAAGGAGTTACTGAAAAAGGAGCCAGAAAAGCTAGCAACAAGTTTCAAAGGATTGAAAAATTCTGTTATTTAAAGGTCTGTCTGACAAGTATGATAACTCACTAAAGCAATTCAAGTCAACCAATGAAAAGCTCACTATGCACTCTACAACACATAACAGCATTAGAGAGTGTATTTTTTTTTAACGATTAATCATTATTTACTGTCAGACCAATACCTGAACTACATAAAGTTAACTGTAAACTTTAAATTCTTCCTGCATCTCTCCTGTCCTAGAATGATTAAGACATAACAAGGGTGGAGGCTAACACAAAATCATAACTGTTCATTTAGCCTCCAGTCTCATTAAAAATATTTCACCATAGCAACAGTATAAGATGATGAGAGCACCCTTACCCTGTAATTTTAGCTTTGAGGGCTTATAACTCAAAAATGAGTCTGATGGAACCCAATTTGTTATCATTGAATATTGTAATTAATCAGCATGCATGCCGATGACATTGGTGTCATTTCATTGTTGCAGCGTCAACTTATGAAAAGAAATACAAATGTGGTATTGATCCTTCAGAGAAGACGTTTGAAACTGTTGAGTTGCCTAAAGTTTAAAGGAGTCCCTTTGTCTTTGTGTTCATTTTTTTCAACTTAAATATCTTTTTTATTGCACATCACATAATAATAATTTGACAGGCTCAGAAATATAGCTCGTACTTTTAAAATTTCACACCTGTCCAGTTTCTTCATATGGAATGCAATAAAGGCTGTACATTTCTTGTACACATCATGAAGAGAAACTTATAATTGATTGTTCTAGATAAAAGGTCTTTTTTAATACAATACAACTAGAAGGACGAGGGCTTATAACTAAAAAATGAGTCCGATGGAACCCAATTTGTTATTATTGAATATTGTAATTAATCAGCAAACATGTAGAAAAACATGTTTGAAACCTGCGTGCTAATGTATTATCATGGCTAGAGTTGATGCAGTTATAGTCAAAATAGTTGACAGCGTAATACTGACTTCTTGGCTAGTCCTCTGTTGTACCTTTGTTAATTAGTGAAGATCCTGTGCTGGGTGGGAATAGGAAAACTATAAAAGAAAGAACAAGTATTGTATATACACAACTTTGCCACTGGTGTTATGGGGGTGGGTCTATTATAGGGTGTCTAACATCCTTCAAACCACCATATTTTGTTCCTACGAGACTGCAAACCACTCTCATTTTCTCCTAAAAACTGAAATGCACGACAATTATCATCACACCCCATCTTCTGTAACAAAACATAAGAAATTCTTGACATCAGTAGCTGTATTTCTGCGGCAAAGACCACCGTTGTTGCTAACTCCATTGAGTAACCAGGGAACAGAAAGTTTTGACATCTAATGACAGTCTTCTTACTCTCCTAGCTCAATATGAATTACTGCTACAAAAACACGCAAAAACTGAAAACCTGAGCTAAGTTTATGACTTCCCAGAACCGCGTAATAATTTCTTAACCGTAAACTGTGAGATAAATGTTTAAGTACTCACATACCGGCTCTCAAAATTGCCATAAAGCACCAAACTGCCAGAGTATAATTGACCTTCTTATGGCGTTAATGCTGGAAACAGAGTGCAGGAACCCTGATTTCCAAGTTTGCCCTGTGGAAACTATGATGTAATAGCCTATAATTCATTCTCAGTATCCTCCAAAAGATTCTTACTAGCTTATGAATTATGATAAAGATTGTTCAATGATTTCATCTTGTGCCACAGCAATTCTGTAATTTGAATTTCCCCAAAAAAATTTTTTTAAAAAAACTTCACAAGCTCATTGGGCAAGCAAAGGATAGAGTTGACTCTCCTGATTGGCGGGAGGTGGGAGGGGAAGGCCGCTCAGGGTGGCCAGAACTCCGGAGGGGGGAGGGTACTCCCTTATATGGTCATAAATACAAGTAGGATATCAATTTGGCCATTTTGGTCTTAGATAGGGTATGTTTTTTGTACTCTAGTCTTGAATTGGGTACGCTTTTTAGAAGAAGCTACTTTTTCATCATTACTGATAACACCATAAACAAAAGCTCTTCAAAAATTATGTGTAGGGCAACTGTGTCAGCTGCAACAGCCTTAAATAGGGTATCGAATTTCTGGTCTGGTCAGAAATAGGGTAGGGAAAATGGCAGATTTTGGTCATAAATAGGGTAAGGGTTTTAAGAAGTAGGCCGCACACCCCTTCAAATTTTTTCGGAAGTATTCCTTCTCCCACCTCCCCCACCCCGGGCCAGAACTTCACTCTATCTTCACCTGCAACTCCTTCTTCTCGCCTCCACTGTTATACAAATACAGCTTGTTTTTCCTCTCTTTTTTGGTTCCTTATCTGCCCCTAGACTTCCAACCTCCTCTTTCCTGACTTAGTTCTGCATTAATTGTAATATTTATTTTTCAAATTTTAAGAAATAATGCATATTTGTTATTTGCCGGCTGGGAGGTCTGTATAGTGAACAATTGTAAATGTTGCTCGCAGCCACAGACTGAGGGTAGTATTTTCAAGTTCGAGGTCACAGTTTTTCACTACACTGGGAGACCCTAAGCCCAGTAAATAACGTACTTATTTTTCTCTCTCTCTTTCAAATCACCTTTATAATAATTATTTTTGACCTTTTCTACACATATCGAGCATGTTACTGTGACTGTGGTCAATGATAGGAAAAACTGGACTGTACCAGGAACCAGTCAGATTGTAGGAATCGTTACCGTGCCCTCTTACACATTACATTACAAAATTAATATTAATCTACACGGTATTGCACCTCATTACAGATGCAAAGAGGGTTTGGGCACATGGGTGTAGCAAACACTTTCTGGATGGTTTGTCCTCAAGCAAGTCCACTGTGATAAATTGTAATAATTGCATTTTTCTAGTTTTAGGAAAAGATGACAGTCCTTATTATACATACTTGGGTGCTGCGCCAAACTTGCATTCCCTTAGAAATCTCTTAGAAGACAGGTGAGACAAATATGGATCGTGTTTTCCAGAAAATTTGCATGCATCCCTCACAAAAGGGATTTTTTTTTGAGAAACCCCCTCCCCACCTCTCTGGAAATTCCAATTAAACTTCATACATTTCTTTAAATTTTTTGATCTTAGAGAACAACCCCCCCCCCCCCCCCCC